TCCATTATCAGTCGATCATTATACACCATTCGATAGCCCTTTTCAAGAGCTACATGTCTGACGGTTCAAATTTGAAAAAGCTCATTTTCAACTTTTTGGCCAAATGTCCGCTTGAATGCCCACTGTGAGATCCTCCTGCCGGCTGGCAAGAGAAAGCAGATGAAAAGTATAACTGGAAGATCAAAAGCAGGTAACAGTAGTGAACGGTCGCCGACCATAGCGGAAAAAGAGGTTCGATTCCTCAGCGAGGCTAAGCTTTTTTTCGTCCGAAGTCTGACACCTCTCCGATTACCTGCTTTACTGGAACATGAGTCACTCTACACCGCTGACAGTAACCCACACAATTGAAGCATAATACAATATCGTATTGCTTCATTTCAAAAACTTTTCAAAAGCCTTTCAGACGAACCTGCGACCGAATGACATAATCAAACTTCGGACAGAAATTCGAATTTCCTAAGAAACGCCAAAACATCGTGCGCAACGTCTTAACATAAGATTATTTTAAAATAAAACGAGGAATTTTTGCTCAATAGCTGAAATCGAGGTTCAGAAAGGTTAAAGCGTGACTAAAACAGAACAAACTAATTTTTCTTCATGTTAGAGACACAACCAACGGCAATATGACTACGACGACCACCACCACCACAGCTACCACTATTTCGACCGCTCCTCCGACTGCATTTCCAAAAGAGGAGAAGAACGTAGATTCGTTCGATTGGTCAAATTCGAATCCGCTCCGTATCGCAGATAATTTTGAGTTAGTTAAAAGTGGAGTCCAACAATCGCTTCATACAACAACAGGCACCACTGACAGTGACGAGTGGTGGAAAGATGATTTGAAAGGGCAGTCAGACCCCTCGGAAGACGATTCGAAGAAAGACACGGAATTGTCTGACGACGACGATGATGATCCTAAGATATAGGTAGTTTCGAATTCGTCGGATAATTTTGAATTTGTAGAAGATGAGAAACAAAGAAGGGGTAGTGCAGCAGTAGCAGCAGCAGCGGAAGCTGTCCTGCAGTCGCCATCCAAGGATTCTAAAACTCAAAAGAAAAAGTCGTACCTTTATTACACGATGGAATTATGTCAAGACGAGACACTTATACAAAGATTAGAGCACTATCAACATTCTATAGTAGAAGCATCCGAAATCCTGCGTCAGATAACAGAAGGTGTTGCTTATATCCATGAGAAAAAGCTGGTGAGCGTCTTTCTGATTAGAAAAGTAGCCACTTTCATTCGAACAGTTGTTTTATTTTGCCGTTCTAGATTCATGGTGATATCAAACCAGCAAAAATCTTCTTTTGTACGACGGAAAAAAATTTCATAAAGATCGGAGATTTTGGTTTAGCTGCCTCTTTTGATGAAATGAGAGCTAGCACTCAAATCTATGCAGCTGGTAATCTGATTCCACTGGAGACTCTTCATGGATCACTATATTATATGAGTCCTGAACAGGTAAGGTTTTTACTTATCTTTCTGGATAATAGAAGTGCATATTACACGTGTGACGACAGTACAGCTACTTGACTATGCGGTCATTTGTGATGGGTATACAGGTCAAGCGGTAAAGGTCGGATGTGCGACTGGATGTGAAGTAGCAGTACTGTCGGTGAATTTTAATTACAAAACTTTTTGTTGATTTTTAGGAAAATCAGCTACCATATGATGAAAAAACCGATCTTTATGCACTAGGCATAGTCTTCTATGAACTTTTACATTCATTTGATACCGGCACTGAACGAGTAGTGGTAATGATAGAAACAATTCTTTAACGCTCACACGGATGACCATTATTTTGTTCTTCTATTTTTTCTAAAGGCCTTATCAAAGATCCGAGAACTTACCAACTCGACACTTCCACCAATATTTCCGAAGTACGAAAAATCAGATAATCTTAACCTATTGGTAAGATGATTTTGAGAAACGAATGTGTAGGCAACAGAAGCCACTGCTAGCGGCTCTAAAAGTGATATATGCTAGATCGTTGGGGTTTTGTAAGATCGTAAATATAACTTGCTTTACCCTTTTCTCTAATTTAGTACGAACCTATTATAATTCGGCTGCTTAAATTTTTATCATCTGAACGACCCAATGCCAAAGATCTACTGCAAGATAAATCGTTACTTCGTCTCATCAGGTAATGACTGCAGCCTCTAATCATCTTACTCACTTGATTGTAGTTATGAATTAGTATTCTTCTTTTAAAGAGGTGTACACAGCGACAAATTTCTATCTTCAGCGAAGCTGGTCCGGCAGATTCCTTTAGATACAGCAAACATTATTCATGGTCAATTTGCTTGTTCCGAAGAAGTTATTCTTTTACAAGAAAATAATTTTTTTAAATTGTACAATATGACCGGCACGATAATTTGTCAGTTTCCGTGGACTCGAAGAGACTACGATCGTTTCGGTTTCGTGGCACAAATTCTTTGGTCTGGTCACTTGAGAGCTTTTTTAATACTTTCACACCGTGCACTATTTACATGCGAACATCCGAACATCGTCACGAACAGAGTCGGTTCTGTCTATGCACCGAGTAAAGCGGTCGAATCTAGATTAAGATTTATTACTTGTGGTTTACAAAGTAAATATTTGTTTCTTAATCGTGGTTATCATACTCTTCAACAGTAGACCATGGTTTAAATTTCGTGAATGGACAAAGGAAAGTTTAAATTATAAGGAAACAGATGAACTACGCGGTATTACAGCTGATAGAAATGTAGAATACCTCGTCATGAATGTTTCCTTAAACAAACAGCAATGGGTGATTGATATTCGTACAGCTGATAGTGCATTAACATTTCAAAGACGAATTGTTGGAGTTAATAATGGAACTATAAATCATAAATTACAAATGGTGTCAGCATCAGCAAACCAATGGCTTTTGATAAATGAGCAGAATAAACTGTATTTGTACAATGTAGAAGGACAAAAAGATCAAACACTAGAAGAAATAAACGATTAACAGTTTAAATTGAGTGAAACACAATCAAGTGTTCATTTTCACTGGATGGGTGAAGCTTATTTAGTGCTAGGTCTAGTAACTGAACATGATAAAAAAGGAAAATTAAAGTTTTATCAGTTTTAAACTCCTTTAGTGTGTGTTATCTTTTGGCAAGCACGAAATGCCTTTTTTCACCTCCGAAAAAATCTTTTCGTCCTCCACTCTACGAATTGGTGTCTGTGAGTTGTTTCGGTTCGATTCTGCTTCAAGGAAAGTGAGTTTCTAGCCACCTTTTTTCAAAATGCGTTGCCGATTTTCTACCGGTTAAAAAAACTTTTAGATATCCACTGGTTTTTCAGCGGTTTAGGCGTGTTTTTAACCAGCTGGTGCGGTCTCGTTGAATAAAACTCAACTGGTTCCAACTCTGGGTAGAAGAAATCATAGTTTTAGGACCTGAAGCCTAGAGAGAACACAGATTGGTGAAGGTGGGAAAAACTTGAACATGAGACTGTTGCGAAGCTCGTCGTTGCAAAGGCGATGGAGCTCTTCTTTCTTTCGTTTCTTGTGCAGCCCAAATTGAACTATATATTTTCCGGTTTTTTGACACTTGAAAGATGGCTTTCTTCTGGAAAGAAACATAGAGTAGCCTAAGGTAATTACGATCAGGATAAAAAAAATTCCAGTATTCTCGTGCGTTTTTAAAAAATGTTTTTGTCTATTAGAACGAGAAAAGTTCAACTTGTTCGTTATCCGACTACTAATCAAAGCTGTAACTTAATTATTTCGCAAATCTTATTGAATAGAAATGCATTTATAATTAACGGTGTTCATTCTATGCACAGTACTCGTTAAAAACAAGCATTTTTATCCTACTTTTTACATATATAATTAATTATAATATTCTGAAGACATTTTTCATTTGAATTAGACTAATAGCCAGCTTCTAAAGATCGGCGCACATCATATTCTGTTTATTCTGTGTAATTTTTACGGATTGATCATAATTACCCCAAAGTATAAACATAAAAAAAATGACTATCTCTTTTAATTTTCGTAATTTCTCATTAATTAATTCAGGTCAAGTCCGAATGATGTGCAATTCAAATGAGAAATACAGCTAAGAATTCTGTACAAAATGAACTAATTTTTAATTTGTTTGCTTAAAATTCTCCGTTGAAACTAAGTTATTTAAGTTCATTCCAGGCTGTACTGATCGTAATTACCCCAGGGTACTCTAAGAGCTTTGCACTTTTTGAATCGGTGAACAAAATGCCATGGCCGTTTGTTTTCTTCATCTCTCTATTATTAAGAATTAAAACGAAGTGTTTATGTTTATGCAGTTTTTACATTTTTATCCTAAAGGATGTGCTTGTTTTCACATTGATACTATACTATCTATCAAGCAGAAGTTGTATAGTTTGTTATTCTGATTTTTTTATGAAATTAGCCTCAAAACTTTAACAAATATTTGGTATTTCTCTATACCTTCGATGCAAAATGTTGTTGCATGATACATATTTTATATTGTTGAATGATACAAGCAACATCGGTATTCATAGTCCACTATTTGAGTCAAGTGCCACATTTATTGTAAGTTTAATTGGTTTATTCTGCAATTTATCATGCTGTATTAAGTTGATTTATCTGATTAAATACACCAATAATAATCAAAAATCACAATTATTACTTTCTGATAGTAAATATTATTTTTTCATAGCATTAACATTAAATGAATTTCTTCTGTGTTTATCAAGCGTTATTAGTTGTCTTGATGAAAAATATTATTCATTTTTATCTAAATATCATCTGTGTTCATTACATGCATTCCTATGGAAATTTACACTCCATTTTACTCCACTATTAATAATTACAATATTAAGTCGTTATCATTATCTACTTAATTATTATAAACATTATTCAAGATCATTTAATCAATTATTTTGTACAAATTTATCAATATTATTACCATTCATTTTGAGTTTGTCATGGTAAGATACAATAGTTCATGTATTTATTTACAAGAACATTTTGGAAATAAGGAAGATTTTTAACACTCTTCTCATGATGTCACTCGAAATTACCTGATGAATATGCCCAAGAAATTAAAAGTTTTAAGCATTTGTATTAGCACCTTTCAAGCTATGAGGTTGTTCGGATTCGAATTTCACGCACACCCACAAGGGAATCTCTCGAGGTGTTTTTTTATGACTTTGCTCATGTTTTACGACAAGCACTGTGTTTAAGGCCGATCTTCTACTCGTTTTTACCTCAGGGTTGATTCATTGACTAAATGCAATAATTTACATACAGTTGAAAGTTCATCGAAAAGTTACATATAGTGACATGCTTTTTTGTCTTCACCAGTTCATATTAGTAGAGAAAAAACCTTTTACTTTTATAAAAATGGCTGGAAAATGAGTATAAAGTATGGGGAAAATGATTTTATGTAGGGTTTCTTATGCTCAGTGCACTAAAAAATCATGTGACATTTTTGTGCACGGTTTTCTAATTAATGAAATAAAACATGAAGACAGATTTGTACGAGGTTTATCAACGAATAAAAGATATTTTCGTTTTACGCTCAGATAACCTAAACAAATAAGATGATCATCTGATGAATCATCTCTTTGAAAATTAATTCAAACTACACATGCTGAATACACTCTAAATATTTCTTCTTCAAACAAAAATTCTGTCAGGAAAAGTTCGGCGTTTTTTGTTTCCAGTTCTTTGAGATTTGTATCCAAATAAGATTTTTTCAAAAAACTTAAAAAATTCAAAACTCGGTTCCAGAGGCTCATATAACCGAACCAACTTACAAGGGAAACTCGCAAGGAGATAAGACGCTTTTTGCTCGGAATGTAGTGAGTTATAGGTTATTGGCCATGCTGATTCCGAATACGACCGTGGGGGTGGGCCTTAGCCCTTCAAAGACCCTCTTTTCTAGAAAACCAGTTTTTCAGAAACTCTAAAATATATCCAAAACCTTTCTCAATGAGGCATGAGACATTTCTGATTAAAATAGACATCTTCCAGCTCTACACGACCTTTTTTTGCAAAGTTACAGAATTTACAAGAAAAGGTAGAAACAACTATTAATACACTCTACACCAATTTTCAAAATTTATCATACATTTCCGTTACTAAATACGCTGGAAAAAATTTGTCGGATTAACCATCCCTGACTACGTTTGGATATCTGAGCTCAAGTTTCTTGATGTACTTTTTCGTGTTTGATTTTACTCTGTGTCGTTGTATCTTACGTCAATCATTTCGCTGTGTCACGAACAAGTTGGGAAGTTCTTGCGCCAGTAACTATTTGATAATCAACTTATATCGGTCTTTCGAATAGTACTAATATAAACCTTACTTTTCCATGTGTTCTCTTAAATATCTAGTTATCATCTACGACCTTCTAATTACAATTTTTAATACAATTTCTAAACAAGATGTAGTAGCGTTATTCACAGAAAAATAATTTCATAACTAATTTAGGTCTGTCGATGGTTTATGGTTATGGGGTGTAACAAATATAAAAGATTTTAAACCAAAAAGTGGTCTACATATTACATTAGATGGTTTTTTGGTGGAATCAGAGAAGTTCATAGCGTTTCTCATCGGTACTATTTGCGAACGCCGACAGAAGGAAAGCGTGAGGATTGTTTTGAATTCAGAATTATGTTATGACCTCTGGAGATTCTTGATTGATAGATTAATATCAGACTACGAACCTTATACATAAAAAAAATGAACAAAAATCCAGAAGATGCTTTAGTTAGGCTCCCGGCGAGCGCCGAACGAAGGGAGGTGTGAGCATTGTGTTCGATTGAAAAGTCACCAAAGGACGTTGGCTTGCGAAGATCCAACTTAATAAAGTCAAGGGCCCGAGCGAGTGGAGACGAGCGCTACCTTGTATGGAACACGAATTTACAGTGTATATGATACATAACAAATGGGGAAGGAAAACTCAGCTTCTGATTTGTCGAAAACTTGAACTACAGAAAATGGGGAAAATAGATGGCATTCTATAAGATTTCAACACAGATGGGGTTTTGCTTTTTGCGCATTCATAGAGAACATCCAGATAAAAATTGATGTGTACGACCTTTTCACTTCTATTCACTCACTGGATAGAACCAACAAGGACATTAACCGGAGAAGACATGGTTGCACGAGCGACTCTCAGTTCCTCAAACTCATCATCTTATATACACTACATTAGCGTCCGCTCCTTCTTCATGGATTTTGGAGCTATACAATAGTTAATCTGCACACTCTGGCTAAATAATCTATATATACCTTAGAGTATTTGGTGCTGGTTTGCCTTCAAAATGAAGTTCCTAATCCCTTTTTTCTATATTTCTCCGCTGAGGAATAGTATATTCAAAAGTTGATTGACTGTGACCTACAGGTGCAAAGAAGAGTTTTATGTGACTGATTCCTTCCCCTCTTCATTGGATATCTTTTAAAAATAAGCGTCATCATTAGCAATCAGGATAACCTTCAGAACGCAGTACAGTAAAAGTCTGAATGGTGCTCACTTTTCCATATTTTCTACGTATTCTAACAGATTATTGTTTATTAAATGAATCCATCTTTATCTCGATCACTAGCTTTAGTTGAAGGTACATATTCATTCAAGCAACTTGAACGATAAGGAAAATCTTTCCCTTTTTAAATCTAGCGATCAAAAATCGAAAAGCGTGCGTCATGCGTGTGAATGGATTTATGTAATAAATAATAATCTGTTAGAACGTTTCTTGTTTCTTGATTTCAGAATCTCAAACACATGCGAAAACCGGCTCCTAATTCCTAAAATCAGAGAAATTTTATGATATCCTAAAAATCTACACAATTTTGACTAAATTTTACTAGTAGTATGATTAATAATTTTACTTAACAACATACGAATTAAATAATGTGTTGGACTCTTATTATGCAATATCTTCTGAATCGAATGGAAATAGAATCAACTTTATATCATGAAAAACAGCCCAGAATTCTATTTAGAAGTATATATTTTTAAATATCAATTGATTGTGAAAACGTTAGACATTATCTGTACGCTTTTTGATTGAAAAGAAAGTACATAGTAATATACGCTGTAGACCTGAGCGTGGTCGACCTGATTGTCGTGTACATTGTGGACATTAAATAAGCATAGATGATTATTTTTTTACACTTATAACAGTTGCATTTTTATATATCTTCACAAAACTCGTCTAATTGAAATTGTAAAAGTTGTTTACAATTACATCTGATGACAACCAATGTTGTTCCTTAAAATTAGAGAAAATTTGAATTAAAATAGTCTCTATTCTTCTGCGTTTCAGGATTACTTTTAGGAATTTGGTTACAATGTCGTTTATCCTACCGTAGTCCTCTTGATTTGCCTTACTTCAAAACACCACATGAACGTCATACATGTTTATATGTTTTGCATACATTTCTTCTCTCAACCATCACATCGTTTCCATTTTTCTTATTTCGTACCTACGAAATAATTGCTGATTATAATCTGTCAGATTTATCAAATTTCAAAAAATTGCCAAGTCGTTTATTTGCTCAAATTTTAATAGCTGGTGTAAGCTGTAAACCAATATTATTTCTAGTATTATTCTGTCCATTTTCTCGATCATTCCTTATTCGAAGTTTTTGGACGTATTACATTCACTGTTTTCCACCAAATATTCTTAAACAAAATCAAGTATCAAGAATAAGAAATGAACAAAGTAGTAAGACTGATGATTTAGAAAATGCTTTCAATGATCGGCTAGTAAGATCTAAATCTATAAATTCGATTATAGCTATGACCGCAAGTAATAGTGGTCAATGTATGGAAAGTTATTCATTACTAATTCCATCATTTGATCACAAATTTTCCAAAAATAATCGATGTCATACACTCTCAGTACCAAATAAATATTATTCATTACTTTCGTATAAGACACAAGAACTATCATCGTCTCCGTCTTTATTAACAACAAGTACATCTATATAATCAAATTATAACGTTATAACAACCAATATTTTAAAAGAACAAAGTCAAGATGTGAGATATATATCCGATCAATGTTCAGTCACATCAGTTTGATAACTATGAGTTTTGTTGATTAAAAATAAACCTATCCTTTACGTTTCTTCTTTGATTTTAATTAATGTTAGTGTTATATTCATTAATCAGTGTTGCGTGAAAAAGAAGTAAATTGTTTATAACTTTTGAGTTTTTGTTCTTTCATTTCATGTATTTTGATTTAAATGTTGATCAAGTATTTTTCTAATAAATGTTCCTCGTATAGTACAGATATTATATTGTGCATTATATTATTTCAGGACTCATCAGTGCATAATGATTGCTTAACAGATCATTATAAATATAAGGGGATTGAGAGACTAAGATTCTTCATTTCAGTGATGCCTGCGCAGTCAGACACTTGAGGTCTCAGAAAAATTCGTTATAGAGAATATCAATCCTACATTCCATAACACACATTTCTACAAATACATACGTTAATACTGATAAAAATGCAACTGTTATAAGTGTAAAAAAATAATCATCTATGCTTATTTAATGTCCACAATGTACACGACAATCAGGTCGACCACGCTCAGGTCTACAGCGTATATTACTATGTACTTTCTT